TTTAAAGTAGCCCCACTGAACCCCTGTTGTTTAAGAGTTCACTGTGTTTTGGAGTGTGGTCATCATGTTGAAATGGGGATTTATGTTTTTGGAGAATAAGATAAATATTTTGCAGACTTTTTTAAAAGGACAGATGCATATCTATTTTTTTACCATACAACAAATTGTACGCACTGTAGTACAATCCCATTGAAGGCAATGCACAAAGTGTTAATGCGGATATTCTCTGCGTTAAAACATTTTAACCTGATGTGTTAAAGTTCAGTTCCCAAAATTCTTATCCAGTATCCTGGCATGTCACAATGTTAAGGAAGATTGCCCACACATAGTCGCTCGGGAGCAAGATAGTTAGATTCAGTATATCATTTCTGAGAAAGTTAAGCTAAAACGCATTGTAAATATTGGACAGTTAAGTATGCAGCAAAAAGTTTACTTTCTTTATGCATTTTAGCTCCAATAATTAAAATCTAAAGTGAAAAAAGCTGCATCGATGAGCAATGTGATTGGCAATGAAACTTTCCCCCCCACATTTCCTCTAATAGCATAAATTGCTGCCTTTGTTAGGAACTGGGAGGTGCCATTTCCTGCAGAGAACTCTTAGATGATCCACTTTGGTATGCAGTCTTGATGCAGCAAAATGACTCTTCATTGTGTCTTTTGTGATGCAGTGAGGCTAGCAAGGATGTGAAATCAAAGTTATATACACTTACATCCCAGGCTTCCATGTGGACTGGTATTTTTGGAAACCAAGCTGGCTCTGTGTTCCTTGTACTCTGTACTGTAGAAGTGTGGCCAAGTCATCTTGTAAGCTCATCTCTTTGGTAGTTCATCTTTTAGGCTGCTTCAGTATGGGAAATTTCAGATTTCAAATTCTTACAATGTCACTACCAAATATAGAAAAGAATCAAGCAATTGGTTCTTGCTGATTGACGTGAGACAACTTAACATTATGACACGGGTTTCCAATCTTTGAAGCCAGTAGGCATGTTTTATCTTCAGAAAGCATGTTATGGGTAAAATTCATAAAATGGTCCATATACACGTGTGGTTATTCACATGATGACCACTGCATGGAAATGACAAACTCTTCCGTAAAAAATCTGCATCACAAAACAAATTTTGAGGGTTTTTAAATAAAAGCATTTAAATCGTGTTACATATTAAAATAAAGATAATAATTAAAACAGTACTGATTCTCCTGCTTACCTAATCATAATTATAAAGAATAATAAAATAATGGCAATTTGAACAAAATTAAGTGAGAACTAAACAAATTTAAAACTTCAGGGGATGAATAACCTTGGGTTATGCAGGTATGATGACTGACGCTGCATGCCATCTGCAAGTTTCCCATAAATTAGTTGCAGGTAGTTCTCGATTTATAACCATTCGTTTAATGACTGTTTGAAGTTACAACGGCACTGAAAAAAGTGACTTATGACCATTTTTCACACTTACAACTGTTGCAGCATCCCTGTGATCACACAATCAAAATTCAGGTGTTTGGCAACTGGTTCACATTTATGACGGTTGCATTATCCCAGGATCGTATGCTTATCTTTTGTGACCTTCTGACAAGCAAAGTCAGTGGGGAAGCCAGATTGATTTAACAACCATGTTACTAACTTAACAACTGCAGTGATTAGCAACTGTGGCAAGAAAGGTCATAAAATGGGGCAGAAGGCACTTAACAACTGTCTTGCTTAGCAACAGAAATTTTGAGCTCAACTGCAGTCGTAAGTCAAGGACTATTTGTATATATGAAGAGACAGTATTTTTCAAACGATCATTCCAGTATCTTTCAGTAAGACCTTCAGTTTTTTTGATGGATTTCATTGCTGAAAAAAGGAAGTCACAGAAATTTGAGCTTTGCAGCAGTGTCTCTCATCACCACCCAATTCTAAAACTCTTCATGAGTTTAATTTAGGTGGTGGTTTGTATTAGTATGAATTTTCATAGAGCAGTGGGAGAGAAGCAGTGCTAAATATAAAGGCAACAAATTACAAATGAACATACATTATTTTATTCTGCCTAACTTAATATAAAATAAAAATTATGACCGATTTATGAATGAAACCCATTTCATTATCAGATGCAGTATATTCAACCTGATAAAACAGTTTCAGTCATTGGATGATTTGATGGATAATTTGAAAAAGAACCCAGTAGTATTTAATCAGTTGGGAAGGAAAAGCATCTTTCAAAAGGTTTATTGATCTGAGAAGACAACTCTACCACACATCTCCTAGACTCAGGTCTGGGTCTTAGTTGTGGCAATGTATTTTATTTAATAATCGTAAAAGAAAATGCTCAGCTTTGTGTCTAAAAGTTCTGAAAGACTCTTTGGATAAGTTGGTAGAACCTGAGTAGGAAATAGCAGAGCAATACAGGTAGTCCTCACATATAAACCACTCATTCAGCAATCATTCGAAGCTAGAACAACACTGAAAAAGGATACTTCCAACTGGTCCTTGAAGTAGCAGCCATTGCAGTATCCCTACAGTCATGTGATTATGATTCAGGCACTTGGCAACCGGCAAACATTTATGATGATTGCATATCTGATGGTCACATTCTTGTCATTTATAACCTTCACAGCAGGCTTCAATGGGGAAGCCATTAGGAAGTGGCAACTCATGATATGATGTCATGTTTAATGATCCACAGTGCATCTCTTAATCACCACTAAATTGAGCACCGTCACATGACATTTACTTTACATCTGATAGCAATAGAGTTGCCAATCCCAACTGCAGTTGGTAAACGAGGACCACTTGTATTAGGGGCTAAGAGGAGAAGGCAGAAAACAGCATCATGATAGAGTTCTGCAAGGTTATAGCTAAGGCAGAAAATACATTAATGTGTGGATTGTGGCAATTATTGGTTATTTATAGAGTACTGTTATATTAGTTGGTCAAATAAAACACCAACCACCTCGGTTAACACAAGGCTAGTTTCATATCACAGAGCTAGTTTAGTATAATAGATAAAGTATTAGGCTAGAAACCAGGAATCTGAATTCTAGTCCTGCCTAAGGCAGAAGCCAGCTGGGTGATTTTGGGCCAGTCATTTTCTCTCAGCCCTAGGAAGGAGGCATTGGCAAACCATTTCTGAAAAACCTTGCCAAGAAAATTGCAGGGACCTGTCCAGGTGGTTTCAGATAGGATTGAATGGAAGAAAAAGACTCATTCCTAACAATCTGTTCTGGAATAATATTGAAAGGTGCCACAGATTGATCTGTACTTGGATCATTCTGAATTAAAGCATACTGTAAACCTCAAGACTGGAAAAGGTCCCCAGTATTGAGAAATAAGCCTATTGTATCTTTCACTGACATAATCTAGAGAAGATGCCCAATATCTATTGAGGAATAAAATATTTTTGGAAAAACAGGGGAATAAATATTTGTTTTGTAAATAGCATCCAGATAGATAGTTTTTCAATTCAGAGGGTTGACATCCATTTGGAGTAGCGAGAGGAAGGAGGCTAAACTTCTGAACAGGACAGGACAGGGAAGACAACAGATTGCAAGGTGGAAAATTTACCTTTGTTGCCTCTGAATGCCTAATAGTTTCCATGACCACAGCATAGTTTTTTTTTAAAAAAAAATATTCCAATCTTCTGCAGAGTGGACCAGAAAAATACAAATAAAGACTAGCTGGAGGTAGTAAATCCATATCATTCATTGGGGGCTAAGGGACTGTAGACTTTGTTCCGGTTTCTTCCAGAACATTCATGAGGTCTGCTCTTCATCCATTTTAGATTAATCTCCCACAAACTGGAAATCCTAAAATGATGGAACTGCAATTCCAACAGACAGGGGGGTAAATAGGGAAAGATGATAACACACTCTGGGTTCAGTTGTTCAAGCATGTTGGCTATTTTTGAAAATTATGAAGAATTTCATAATCTTAACTGAAGAAGGAGGGGAATCCAAGAAAAGGTGCTGGCACATTTTTCTAGTGTTTTTTCTTCCTCCTAAGACAACTACATGTAGAAATAGAGAAACTATTTTCTTTTTAGATATAAAAGAAAACAATATTTATTTTGTTGTAAGAAATGTAATTTTAAAAAAACCCACCCCATATTGTAAATAAATGTAATAATGGGGAGATGGACTCTTACTGGTTCTGTAGAAACCGAAATACATTTGCTAAAATTTTGCTCAAAATTGAGTTATCTAAATAAGTATAGTTTTGTTGTTTTATGGTTAAAAAATCACTGATTCTGCCTCATACTTTGTGTCTGTACAAACTCTGTCAGTAATGATAATACTCTGATGATTGAGAATTGTACCCATTGCTGAACTATATGTGAAACTTCAATATTAAAATATTATTCTAAATGTACTCTTTGTCATGTTATTTTCAGAAGACAGTGTTTCCGTTGAAACAGGTTTTAAAATTTTATAGTGCTTTCCCATTTTCTGATTTTTAAAAATTATTTTACTTGAATACTCAACATATTTTTAAGATACTTAATTTTTTTAATCTGTGTGCATGCCATGAATAAAGGAAGTCTTCAATGACCAAATAATGAGCTGATATGGAGAATATCACTCTTTGCTTTAATTGTTCTCTGATTGGTGCATGTCATCTTTTTTTTAATTGTTTAAAAGTCTCCTATGAACTGGGCTTCCTGCCTACTCAATGTTTTCATTCTGAAGGAAAACAGACCAATAAGTGCGTATGGATGGGTCATGTATATCAACATTCCCTAGTTAATATTTGGAGGAGGAGGAGGAGGAGGAGGAGGAAGAAATTGCACACATATATTGGGATCCAGAAATGAGTGTGAAATCTGTGTAAGAAAATGAGAAAGAGGAAACAATACATGGTAGTAGTTTGCTACAGATAGCCAAACCAGGCAAAAGGACTGGATGATGCCTTCCCAGACAAGACTATAATAAGGTATGTTTAATATGACATTTATTGTAGATATATTTAGCAACAAGGGAAAGAAGTATCTGTAATTCACTGAGTTGGAAACAACAGAAAACGAGCATCAGAATATCAGCAAAAGTTCTCATTGCTGGATGTGCAGATGGGAACGTCCAATTCCTATATTATCCTTTTAATTGTACCTGTAAAAGAGACAGAGTGATCAGGAAAACGCTGAGATGTTCCATAGAAATCACTTTGAACTACTGAGTACATTTTAGAAAAAGTACAATAATGATGAGAAATTATTATTCATTTGGCTTGATCAAAGCCATTTGGATCACTGTTTCTCCCTGTAATTATAGAATTGATGATTTAGGAGATTTGAGCAATTTCTCTGCATAGAAAGACTGGGACAATTATATCAGCCCTACACGTAGCTTTTGATTAATAACAACAATTGGGACTGGAATTGTTGTTGCTAAGCAATGCGGTCATAAAGTATGATGTCACGTGACTGCACTGCTTACGGCAGCTTTTGCAGACCAGGTTGCCATCTTTAAGCAAGAACTGTGCGGGTCATTAAGTTAGTAATGTGACCATGATCTGACCGGCTTCTCCACTGTTGGGAAGCTGGCAGGGACTGTTGGAAATTGGGTCCATGCAACTGCAGCTCATTACAACATTGTAATTGCATCCCAGATACCAAGCACTCAGATCACGATCAGATGACCAGGGGAATGGATGGAACTTTGAGGACTTGTCGTAAGTAACACTCATTCAGTCCCATCACAAATTTGATCACTGAATGAATGGAGGGAAGTTGAGGACTACTTGTATGAGATAGACCAGGCTAAGAAATGGACACCCTGCCGACCTAATTCCACCCCTCCCCTTTATTAGAACAGCTATTAAGAGCAGAATCTTGCAACTACTCTGGCCTCATTTATTCTATCTTAATGAGAATGGGGGGGGGGGGCTATCTAGAGCATTTTTGTCCTGGGCTCACATTTTATTCATCTGATTCTTGTTAATAGCGGTTCTTCCTTCTGTCCTTCAAGGCTGAAACATTTAGCTTTTTATCTGTCTTCATTCCCAGGTAAGGGAAGATATATTAGAAGACAAATCATGCATAGTACAGGTAGTCCTTGACACAACCATAATGGAGCCTGCCCATTATGGTCTCAAGTCATGACAGTCATTAAGTGAGACGGCCATTTGATTGCCTCGCTTAATGAACCCATCCCTACTCTCCCTGATGCAGTTGTTAAATCGATCATGGGGTGGCTTACAGGTGGGGAAGCCCTGGGTGGCGTAGCACAAGCCTGCAGGGACCTGGTGAGGAGGGAGAAAGTAGGCCCAAAGCCTGCGGGCAGTGGTGGGATTCAAATATGTGAGCAACCGGTTCTCTGTGTGGATGCCGCTTCCAGAAGTCAATTCTGGGCCTGGGCAACAAAAAATTAGCTACCGGTTCTGCCAAACTGGTGCGAACCGGCTGGATCTCACCACTGCCTGCAGGGGACCTGGTTGGGCAGGATGGGGCAAAAGATACAGTAGGTGGGAGAGGCTGTTGCAGCGTCTCTGTAGTCGGTCATAAGGCCAGATAACCATAAATGAATGGCTGCTAAGCAACCAGCCATAAATTGAGGACTACCCATATGGAAGTGCACTTTAGAAAGATCCAGAAAGGTTCATACACTTCTTGTATTTTTTCTGATTTATTTTCCCAAAGGAGGTGAAGGTGGCCACAGCTGATCTCCTGCCTCCATTTCCTTCTCACAACCATCCTATGAAGGAAGTGTGGATGGAAGTGTTTAACTAGCTTTGGCTACTAGCATTCAGTGAGCTTCAAAGCTAGGCAAGGAATTCAGCTGAGGACTTCCCAATCTTAGTCCATTGTTCCAAACTTGCACTTCTATCTTTTCCCAGAAAGAGAGAGGCCTTCAGATAGAACAGTGTTTTTCAACCTCAGCAGCTTTAAGGTGTGTGGACTTCAACCCCCCAAACTCCCAGAATTCTGAGGTTGAGAAACACACATAGAAATGTGAACCTAAGCATCAAGATGCAGTATCATATTTTACCTAATGTAGCCTTACCTCAACCAGAAAGAGCCAGGTGGATAGCCTAAGAAAATGGGTTTTTCTTTAATGAACCGCTTTGTAGAACTGTAAAAAGAATGAGGCAAAGGTTATGAGAGCCACAAAAATGTTGTGATCTTAAGCAGGTCTACTCTGAAGTAAGCCACACGGCATTCAGTGGAACTTAATTCCAGGTGGAAATCCAGAGAATTGCCTGCTGAAAGTGCTACATCTACTCTGAATAGCCAAAATAGAAAGGCTGATTCGCGGTGATACATATCGTCCTCAAAAAGATATTCAGAATATTATATATTGAAGAGCTGTCAGGAGGTCAGTATTCATTTTTGAGACTGGCTTCCTTAATGGGAAGGTTTATCTAGACAAGAGACTATTAAAAGATAAACAGTCTTCTGTCTTTTAGATATAGGTTTTTTTCTATCTATTCTGTCATTTGCAGAATAAGCTATGGATATTTATGGATGTCGACCTTGCAAAGCAGACTAGAGAGGAAATATGGCCATAATACAATAATTCTACATTATTGTAATGTTATATTAATAATAGCTCATATTATTATATTAATAGAATCTTGCAAGTCTGAAAGTATATTCTCCCCCCACCACACACACAAACACACATCCCCTTTACTGCTAAAGATACTAGGGAGAGTTCCACATTCCTTTTGCAGGCTCTTTATATCTGACCTTTTCTTATCCTGTGTCTTTTTGCCCAGTCTTCCAAAGTCATTCCCACATACCTTTACACTGCATCACATGTGGGGGGGGGATAGCTTGTTTGTATAGATTTGCATATATAAGCCCACACACATTATACCCACATATGTCCTCCTTTTGGGTTATGCATTTGTGTCTTGTTTGTGGTTTTCCTGAGATATTAGGATTAATCAAATCAATCCTGGGGAAATTGGAGACTAGTCTATGAACAAATCAACCTTTGATTAAAGGCATTGATTTGATTTTGGGGCTTTTGTTCCTCAAATCTGATGATCTTGTGAGGTGCTTGCCTGCAGCTCCCATTATTTTACACAAGAATTGGGAAGGCTTGGCAAGTATGATGTAGTCTGTACTCTTGCATGCTGCATACACAGATAAAAACAGTGTAGTGAGCAAGAGGAGAAAAGGTGAGAAGGGAATTAGATTGTATTTAAAAGTGACCTGCATCTACAGTACAAATACAATCTAACAAACATCTAACTTAACAAAGATAAGGATTCCAATGAACCAGTTACAGTGAGGAAAAGCTTTTTTATATGGCTATTAAACAACAGGTGGTCAGAAATCATAATTTTACCACAAACCATCCATTGACCAATCATTAGAATTGATCATCATCTATAAAATTCAATCATCATCTGCTTAAACACAAGAGATGATTTTCAAGAATCATTTTGCTTTGGACTCTTTATAATATTCCTTAGACACATCAGTCTTTATTTTGAAACGCATGGTGATTTAAAGGACATCCCTCACTACCTTTTGTATTGCCCAATTTAACTCCGCTGAATGTTCTTAGATATATTTGAATGTATTTAGAATCACTTCTACCAAAAAAATAAAACCAAATTCTTATTTAAAAACCTAGAAGATGGTTGTCCCATGGAGGCTGGCAGTTTTGTTCAAGCTGCAGCTGATTGTCATACATAGCTCTTTCATAGAGTCATTAAATATAATTAATTTTATCTAGGCTAATTACTCTCTTGACTCAGCCCTCAAGGTCTACCTGTCCTTCTCCTACAGTTCAACATTTTCTACCTGTAACGTTTGGCATTGATGAGCCAATGCACAAAATCTCTGGCCTTCATGTTGTCCAAATGTTCAGTAAAATCGCTGGTAAAAGTCCCTTCAGAATGGCGTTTGATGTCAGAAGTAAAGCTGTGGGCACTTTTCATGTTGTAAGACTGCTGCCACCTGAGTGAAAGCCAAGGATGAGTTGCATTAGGCATTCTCCCCCCAAAAACAATACTTTTATTGCTTGCAATTGTACACCAATGACACATTTCTAATACTAGCGAAGCCACTGTCATGATTGGACACCTCTGTTCTAGTCTCAGAGCATGTGATGATAATTTTTTGTACATAGAATAAAACCACAAAGTAATATGATATAACTGATAAGCCAGCAATGACACTGATATAGTTTGAAATTGTCAATGGGTGTCATAGTGTCTGCAGTACTCTTGATTGTGCCCAGCAAGGACATTCACAGGGTGGATATGTGTGTCAAAAGGTAAAGGTGATCAAAGCCCTGCCTCTTTTTTATGTGTGCTACACACCCCTTGAAACACCATGGTGCCCACTGACTACCAACAGCAAAATAATATATTTTGAAAATTTTAAAAAATGGCTGAATTTGCTGTGCTTGCCAATTCTAATAAGATCTCACTAGCTATCATGGCTGTGGTTTCCTAGTTTTTTCATTGCCATGATTTTTCCAGTTTTAGTTCTGAATTTTGGGGTTGTGTTCCCTTGGACAGAAATGGTGTGCAGTTGGGGGATTTTTCTAGACCAGTGGTTCTCAACCTGTGGGTCGGGACCCCATTTGGGGTCGATCGACCATTTCATGGGGGTCGCCAAGCAAGGCTGTCCGCCATTTTTTTTTGTCTGCCATTTTTTTTGTCCGCCATTTTTCCCCCTTTTCCAGCGGGTGCCTTACCTCCCTTGGGCTGGGCCAGCTGGTGGTCGGCCTGCTCCGTCTCTGCCGCTTGCCAGCTACGCCTCGGCCGGCGCAGGGGGCGGAACCACACATGCACGGCGCTCCCGGGCAGGGAAAGTCCTCGACTTATGACCGGTTGGGTAGTCCTCGACTTATGACCGGTTTAGTCCTCGACTTACGACCAATTTAGTCCTCAACTTACGACCGGTTTAGTCCTCGACTTACGATCGGTTGGGGTCGCGGCATTAAAAAGGTTGAGAACCACTGTTCTAGACTTTCAACTTGCCCTTGAGGTGGATGCGGTGGGAAGGTCATAATTCGGATTCATCTATTACACTAATTGCAACTCTTCCTGAACCAGGAATGCCTCCTTATTGTTACTCAGTGGACTATTCCAATATGCCCTGCATGGAGCTGCTCCTGAACACCACTCAGAAGCTGCACTTGGTCCAGAATGTGACGATGCAGATAGTGATGAGTATGCCTTGGTAGTCTTATGTAACACAGCTGCTTTGAGGAAAATGGAACCCAGGAAATATGTCTTCTCTATCTCAGCATCTAATCCCTGGAATCATATCTCTCCAGAGGTTTGTATACTCCCAACCATGCAAACCTTTAAATGGGCCTTGAAGACCTGTTTTTCCCCAGAATCTGGGGAAAAGGTAGGTAGAGTGTGTGTGTCCCCCTAAGTGATATGGTGTCCATGGATTGGTGTATGCTTTTTTCCTTGCATTAAGTGCTGTATTTAACTTGCACATCACCTAGAGCAGTGGTTCTCAACCTTTTTAATGCCGCGACCCCAACCAGTCGTAAGTCGAGGACTACCAAACCGGTCGTAAGTCGAGGACTTTCCCTGCCCGGGAGCGCTGCACATGCGTGGTTCCGCCCCCTGCGCTGGCCGAGGCGTAGCTGGCAAGCGGCAGAGACGGAGCAGGCTGACCACCAGCTGGCCCAGCCCAAGGGAGGTAAGGCACCCGCCGGAAAAGGGAAAAAAAATGGCGGACAAAAAAATGGCGGACAAAAAAAATGGTGGACAGCCTTGCTTGGCGACCCCCGTGAAATGGTCGATCAACCCCAAATGGGGTCCCGACCCACAGGTTGAGAACACTGACCTAGAGTCCTCAACTGAGTAGTCTTATAAATCTGGTAAATTAGACAAACAAACCCTTTAATTTAGAATTTTTCACTGAGCATTTTTTTTAAATATTTGTCTTCTTCCATCAAGTTATCTGAAATTACCCTATGATTCAACTCTCCTTCAAAGGTGTCATTGGTCTGTGACAAGACCCAAACTACCATTTCTTTGGATATGCTGATTGGAATTGCTCAGAGATACAGTCAACACAACTGAAACAGACCAGTCAGTTATTAATAGAGTTTGAATAAGTTGGTTTTCAAAAAGGGGAAGTGATTGGCTGTCTTCTATCTTCTATTGGCTTTTCTACCTTCCTCTTTAAAGCTTTCTATATTTAATACAGTATATCAATTGAAACAGAGACTAACAAGAGGATTATATCACATCATCTCAACCAGATTACAATATACCGATGAAAACAATCCCATGCAATATATTTACATAAAATGAATGATAAGGAACAAGACAACAATAGAATTAGTTATAAAAAGAGAATGAAGTTGAACTCTACAGTTGGTTTGTGAAGAAGGATTATTAATGTGTCCCTAAAAGTATGCTTTTATTTATATTTGTCCAATTGTCACATTGCAACACTCCTGTTCATCCTTCTGTTAGTACATAGGATCTCCTTTTATTAAATTATTAAAACATTGTTAACATTTAATTGCCTTATATTTTATTGATCACAATGCAAAAGTTGTACATCTATTTCTACTAGTTTACAAAATCGATTCTTGAAAAAGCTTCTGAACTTGCCTTCCTTGGAGTCTCATGGCACACATTTGGGCAAGTATGAAGCTAACTCTATATCTGAAATTGTTCTCCAACATAAAATCCCTGAAAGTTCTGACTTATATGTCTGTAATAGGACCCTGGTTTTGATTGTACTTGCTACCCTTTCAACCTTTCCCTTCCGTTCTCATCATAATTTTTGGCAGTCTCTTATACTTTCACCTTTTCCTTCACTCCTTGTCCCATCCTATCTACTGCAGGGTATCCCATTGACCTTCCTTCCACTCCCTTCTCTCCTCTGTGCCTTCCTCAAATTTTGTTTTATCCAAATTTAGGTTGCAGAAGATTTCTGTAGGAAGTTGGCAAACGTTGAGCCTTCTGCAATTCTTCCCTCTCCCCATACACCCCCAACTGAAATCAAATATATTAAAAAAATTTCATACCTAGACTCATCCGTTGAATCCTTCAGGATCATTTGCCAGCTAACAGGGAGTAAAGCTACAATGACTGTGGCAGAAATACAGATCCACCATGTTTTCTTCATCAGATCTTCTGAAGCAAGGCAAACAAAAGCATGAAAAAGAATTGGACCACACTTTTAACTTTCCTACCAGTTTAGGACTGGATGCTCATAGGAAAACACAGTTCGAGCTTTTTATTATCCCAGAGATGAGTTGGAATTGTTCTTGCAAGCATTGAGTTTACAATCCCAGTTTTGTATACTCAAGTTTTTCAAGGTTATGCAGAAGAATCCAAAATAGATAAACTAAAGTAGTTGGTCAGAAGTTGATTCGTGTTTGCATTATTTAGAGGAATTGGCAATTTCTAACACAGGAAGAACAATAATAAAGTTCATCCTCCACAAAGAACGAAGGTGATCAGTTAAGATGGGAATCATTGCCCAGTGTACTCACATCTCCATTTTGCTCTTCTTTTACTATTTTTTTTTAAATCTGTGACTGCAAAAGACACTGAAGCAGATTTGGCCACTGTCTTCTAAACACAGAGAGCTTTGAATTAGGTTAAAAAACTTGTGAACAAAACCTGGATTTTTTTTCCAAATGGTTCCATTTAATATATGATTGTTTTTCTGTAAAATGATTGTATTACTGTAATTCCCTTGATTGCTTCGGAAAAGAGGCACCCAATCTAATAAGCTGCGTATCAATATAACATGAGAAATGCCTTTCTCATATCACTGAAACAGATAGAACATCTCTCCGGCTCCTCATGCTTAGTAAGACTATTATTCACAAATCTGCTTTTAAACAGAATTAAGCAATGCAGAGGATTTCTAGTTAAACTGATAAATACAATGACATCTCAGCAATAGCTCATGTTTCTTACATTATTCCATCTAAGACAACCTCTCAGGACCTCAACGGACAACAAACAACATTCTTTCATTCTTGATTTAGTAGAAAACTAGAATATGGTGGGAATAAGAGATTCTCCAACCTTGTTTGAAAAATAGATTTTGTTTTGACAACGATAATGCATACTTTCATGCTACAGATAGTACGGAATGGGATGTGATGAAGCAAATCGTGCTTACCTTCTAAAAGATGAAAGTTTCTCCTGTGTTCCTTTTCTTTGTATGAGCTGTTTTGTGGCTTAATGCTATTCTTACCAGTGCTTTTAAGCTTGTTAGTAGAATGTTAAGGGATGACAGGTAGGTCATTAGTGTTCCAAATTTTAGTTGGATAGGTCAGTTATGAATCATTCCTGGATGTCTCCTTGCTTTCTTCTTCTTCTACTTTATTAGTGGTTCCACACAGAAGATGAAGCCAACCAACTCCTTCAAAATGTCTTGTGCAATTGATGGAGAAAGAACGTCATGTGTTTTGTCCCATACAACATTATGTATTGTCCTATTAAAAAAAATCCACCATTTTTCAGATATTAACTGAGCATAGGAAAAATATAGGCCTCTCTTACACATATATTTGGGATTTGTATTAAAAAGCAACAGTTAGACAATTGGGCTCCACCATTTGTTCATATTCACCCTGTGCTATATTAATCTATATACTCTTATCAACAATAAAAGGGGCCATCCATATACATTTGATGAAATAACTTCTAATCCATAAAACCTTATGTTGTAAGGACTGGGCTGATATTGTTACAATAACATGAAAAATATTTTCATCTGAATTATTTTCCCTCCATGTATCCTTTATATTTTCTGGAAAAAAAGTACCAACTGATGTTCCGGTTAATGAGGCATAGGTTCTCCTCCTACTTCTCCGAATGGAGGCTCCATCCATCATTTTTTTTGGCCCCAAATATCTTCATGCAACCACAGACAACGAGCCAAGATTTTGAAAAAAAATCTTCTGTAATCTCCTGAGGTTGCTGAAGTCTTGTGACATTTCAACAAAGGTGGCCCAAATCTTGTAGAATTTCATGAGGAAGAATGTGGAATTGTTGTAAGATGTTGTGCAAGGATACTAAAATAGTCTGAGCTCTATCTGAAAGTGTCCTGTGTTTGAAGGATCATGCCCTGCAAATCTGGTTGAAAGACGCAGGAAGAAAAGTACTTAAAACCTGAATGGCATTTTTTCCTTTGCTTCCTGTCCAGTTTGATTGGACATTGCCATATGGATATTACCAGTCATGATCTTATAATATGGATAAGTCTTCTCATTCTGAATGCATTTGATGTTCATGATATTCACTCCAGACTTTTCTCCTCCACTGAGTTTGTTTTAGTATCATTTAAAAAGTATCTGTTGGAGAACAAGAGACTCCTACTAATTAGGCACCTTCTGGGATACACGTAAACTGACCTTCACAAATACAGATTCATTAGTGCGACCTTTGATGAACTGAACTTTCTATTAAGCTAATATTTTAGTGCATCATTGGGTGCCTCTGTTATGATTGCTGTCAAATTAAGCTGCAGTGTGATAACTTGGTTCTTGCAGATGTTAGGCATAATAGATATTAGAAGCTAATAAGTAATTCTGGACTATACTTTTTTCAAAGTAGAAATATGGAGAAGAGAATATTAGAAGCTAATAGGCAATTCTGTATTGACTATACTTTTTTCAAAATAGAAATATGGAGAAGAGACAGGGATATTCTACTCCCAGCTAGGGATCAGTGAATCACTAAACTTTTGACTGTACATGTAAATAATAAATATTCATCTTACACCCTCCCCCAACCCTGCTGCCATGCAGAAGCAGATTAAAATCTTCTGGAAGATTTTTTTTCCAATTAGTTTTGAAAGGTCTTTGGGAATTGTTTACACACCATTCCAGTTTTAAATTAATGCTGAATTTTGTTTTTATAATTTGTATTAATTATATTTTTATTTGAACCTTGGACATGTATTTTTAGCTGTTAAAGTTAATGATTGCAGTGGTCTAAAGACCAATAAATTAATATAGAAAAAGTACAATAACATCCCAAACTGGTGCTTTCAAAAATATATACAAGTGTCTATGTCTGTGTTTGTTTGCAGGAACTCCATTCTTGCAGAGCTTGTTTATATTCTGCTAAATTAAAAAGTACAAATGCTCTCACCAAATCTGCACCAAATAGAATCTAGGACAGGATTCTTTCTCTTTATCCCTGTGGATTTTTTACATGCATTCATTTATTGCTGCCAAAATGATGACAGAGAAACAGGAAATAAACTACACAAAGATATAATACACACATTGTCAAAGAAAAAATACCATAGTGTTTTCTAAGTGAAAAAATGCAACAAAAGAAAAATGATACGTATTTTAACTGTTAAAATAATTACAATTCTATATATTGTTATCTAATGCAATTATTATTCAAGCACATATTTATATTAATGTATTTGTATTAACTAACATTTTATTATCCTGTTGTTTTTTCTATAAGTGAGTCTGATATTTCATTATATTGGTCCATACAAAGTCTAACATCTATAGGCAACATTCTGATAGGTGGCGTGCAATCCGATCTTCAGTCCATTGAGTGAAAGGTGTCATTGCTTCTTGATCTTCTGGGTAAGGTCCAGTTTAGTCTTTATCCCCATATTGATTGAGCAGGGGGCTTGAGCAGGGGGCTGGACTAGAAGACCTTCAAGGTCCCTTCCAGCTCTATTCTATTCTATTCTATTCTATTCTATTCTATTCTATTCTATTCTATTCTATTCTATTCTGTACTCTACTTCTATTCTATTCTATTCTATTCTATTCTATTCTATTCTATTCTATTCTATTCTATTCTATTCTATTCTATTCTATTCCATTCCATTCCATTCCATTCCATTCCATTCTATTCTGCATGCAGTGATCTTGATTTCAGTTCCAGAGCTTTCCAGTTTTAAGAGGTTGCAGATGATGAGGAATCACATCGTATGCTGAAGAACGTGATCAAGATTTCTTAGCTTGGAAGCTCCTCTAGATACAGATACTTCATTTCCCATGTTTCTTAGACAATATGACCAAAGCTGAGAATGCTGGGAATTGAAGCACATTCATCTGGACAATACCAAGGTTGAGTAATGTTGGTTGGGAGAGTTGCTGCAATAGATCAATGAACTAGTGTTGGGTTTACTACGTTAAAACAGGACATGGACAATAAAAGGGAAGGAATTTAGATTAGGGAGGGACAAACTATAGGGATAACAGTGTTGCAAAATCATTAAAAAATTTAAAAGCCAAGGATCCTTCTTAAACTGCTGTCTTGTGTTTCTGTAGTAGACTATGTCACTTGAGCACAATGTACATACACTAGAAAAATGGCAGCATGCGCTACAGTCATATGGGCTAGGTGTTCAAATTAAGTCCACTTCCTACATTGCAGCTTTGCATCCTTCCCTTCTGAACCTATCACAGGTTCTTTTATGTATAACCAGGTTAGTGGGCTTCAACACTCCAATGTAGCCAACACAATCCCACCTGGTCTCTAGGCCACACAGCCACAAGTACGTAAAGGCTAGTACACACAACTTACTCTATCCCTCTTCCCTTTATTCTACCACAACTTATGTTCTTCCACATCTTCTCTTTGCGAGCCCTGTTTCTGGAGAACAGTATCAATAAAGTAAATTAACCTTAGGCTGCTTCAGGTCCCAAACAAATACAAACCACCTTCCCTCTGACTCCCCCTCCAGTCCCTGCTCAGATTTATAGACACCAGTTGCTGGGCTGGCTAGGGAGAGAGGTGTTAAAGGGACAGCACACCCACAGCCCAGGTGCTGGCCATTTTGCAGGAACTATGTCCTCTCACAGAACCATTCCAATTCACAGCATACTAAAAAGCAGAGACATCACACTGCCAACAAAAGTACGTATAGTCAAGGCCATGGTTTTCCCAGTTGCAATGTATGGCTGTGAAAGTTGGACCATAAGAAGGGCTGAGCACCAAAGAATTGAGGCCTTTGAACTATGGTGCTGGAGAAGACTCCTGCGAGTCCCCTGGACTGCAAGGTGATCAAACCGGTTAGTCCTAGAGGAGATCAACCCTGACTGCTCTTTAGAAGACCAGATCCTGAAGTTGAAACTCAAATACTTTGGCCATCTAATGAGAAGGAAGGACTCACTGGAGAAGGGC